ATACAGATGAACTACTTCTCTAATAATGTTTCATTTTATTAAAAATGGTAAACAGAATGAGATGTAAATGAACTATTTTTAAAATCGTTATACAAAGGAACTACAGTGCAAATGAACTACTTTCCTACCGTTTTTTTTTTCAAGTAGAAAGTACAGATAAACTATTTCTTTAATAGATTATTTTTTTAGTTAAATATAGTAAACAGAAAGATATATAAATGTAAAACTCTTTTAAAATCGTGTTACAAATAAACTACAGCGCAAAAACATGATTAGCACAGATGGACTACTCTTTCCTGTTGTTTTTAAGTGGAAAATACAGATGAACTACTCTAATAGACGATTTGTTTTAAGTAAAAATGATACAATAGAATGAGATAAATGAACTACTCTTTTAAAATCGTGGTACAAATAAACTAGTACAAAACATAATGGGTCCAAATGAACTACTCTTTCCTACCTTTTTTTTGAGTGGAAAGTATAGATGAACTACTTTAATAGATTTGTTTAGTTAAATATAGTAAATAGTTATAAATGAACCACTCTTTTAAAATTACAGCGCAAAAACAATAGGTACAGATGAACCACTCTTCTGTTGGTGTTTAAGTGGAAAGTACAGATGAACTACTTTTCTAATAGACGATTTTGTAGTCAAATATGGTAAACAGAATAAGATATAAATGAACAACTCTTTTAAAATTGTTACAAATAAGCTACAGCGTAAAAAAATGATGGGTACAGGTGAACTACTCTATTCTGCTTGTTTTTAAGTGGAAAGTACAGACGAACTACTTCTCCAATAGACGATTTTGTAGTCAAATATGGTAAACAATTAGATTAAATGAAATATTCTTAAAATACTAGTACAAACGAATTACATTGCAGAAACAAACTACTCTTTCCTGCTGTTTTTAAGTGGAAAGTACATATGAACTAATTCTTTAATATATGATTTTTTTTTAGTTAAAAATGGTAAACAATGAGATATAAATGAAATACTCTTGAAATCGTGCTACAAATCAACTACATCCTAAAAGCATGATAGGTATAGATGAACTACTCTTTCCTGTTGTTTTTTAAGTGGACAGTACAGATAAACTACTTCTCCAATGTTTTTTTTTAGTTAAAAATGGTAAACGGAATTAGATATAAATGAACTATTTTAAAATCGTTGTACAAATAAACTACAATGCAAAAACATGATGGGTACAAATAAACTACAATGCAAAAACATGATGGGTACAAATGAACTACTCTCTTTCCTGTTTTTTAAGTGAAAGATACAGATGAACTACTTTTTCATTGGAATCGAAATAAATAAGCAACACCATTAGATTTGACCATTTATTTATTTATTCATCGAAAAATAATGTTTTAAATATAAATCTCGTACACAATTTGTTGAATTACCAGAGTTAAGATTTCAATGCAAGCAAATCACTTCACTATTTTTGTTCTAAACAATGACGTTATAATACACGGTGTGTCAAGTTATAACTATTACTTTTATACATTCATAATAATTCACAAAAAATACTACTAAGTTAATTTAAATAAATAATAATTAGTTCCTATAGAGATATTTACAAAAATATATAAATATATAGTTAGATGCTTTGGTCCGGTTTTTCAAATTGTCGAACGCGTGCGCGTAAAGTAATTCGAAGAACGAGACCACAGACAATATTTAAACTAGTTCTATTTTATCAGAATCACTTGTAATTCGTACCAGATTTGTTCCAACCAAACGAAAAATTATCACTTCTAAATGTCATCTGTCCGTTGTCAACTGTCATACGTCTAACTTAAATAGAACTGTCAGTTATCTTTAAAATAATAAATATAGCTGTCACTTATAGCCTTTGAATTATCACCATTTCTCTGTCTAAGTTGTTAACAATTTTATCGCCAATGGGAGCAAATCTATTACTAGTAATTTCAAAATAATTCCCTAAACAAAAATATTTATATAACACAGTTCAACCAATCTGGATCATGCTTGATTATAGAGAGAAAAAAGACAGTTAACTGTCTGTATCCTTGTTTATTGGTTTATCCATGCTACAAAACAAAATAAAAATATATTCTACCAATTCTAAGAACAAAAATTAGGTTTTTTTTAACAATCCACAAATAAAACAATTTAAAGTCGTCGAATATTCAAGATAAACCAGATTGAATTGCTTTCGACCGATTCATACGTGTTTTACGGTTCGTCAAATCCAATGTGATCGTCGCTAACTTGAGATTCGGCTTTTAACAAAATACATAAAGCTGTAATTAAAGCACCTGCTTAGTCTATTTTACCAAATTTTCCAAAATATCGTTAGACGATTACTCTCACAATACCGTATTATACTAATTAAACTATTCTCTATGGACATTTTTCGAACAAACACGATATGATAGACGAGTTATTATTTCCAGATTCTATCGATTCCTAAATATGATTTTTCAAATTGTTAAGTTACTCGTCGTTTTAAAAAACGTATAGCAATTGCGAAAATTGTCGATTTTAAAACATTAAAAACTATGCGGAACATTTTTAGAATGTTGAAAAAACAAAAATGTCAAAACATCGTTTTTAAATTTCGAAAAGTCAAATTCACGTTTTTAGCTTTGGAAACGTCAAAGTATCGTTTTGAGATGCTTGTTTTTTGTATTTATTAAAAATCGTTTTTAAAAAATGCCAAAAAGGTATAATTTTAACACAGTCACCAAAAAACCATGTAAAATATTTTTAGAATGTTAAATTAATAAAGAAATGTCAAACGTCTCAAAACATCGTTTTCAACTTTAAAAAAGTTAAATCCACGTTTTCAAATTGTTATATACGCCATAACACGAGAAATTATTGTGTCCAATGTATAATTTTCAAGACAAGTATATCGTTTTTAGACGCGCGATTTTTGCATGTATTAAAAACCGTTTTTAAAAAATACCAAAAAGTATAATTTTAATAACACAGTCACCAAAAAAACCAGTAAAATATTTTTAGAATGTTAAATTAATAAAGAAATGTCAAAACGTCTCAAAACATCGTGTTATCTTTTAAAAAGTTGAATCCCCGTTTTCAAATTGTTATATACGCCATAACATGAAAAATTATTGTGTCCAATGTATAATTTTCAAGTATGTCGTTTTGAAAACGTCAAAGCAAAGTATCGTTTTTGGTGCATCATTTTTGTAAGTATCAAAAACAGCGTTTTGAAAATACAAACGACGAAATGCTTCATTTTAAAACGAAGTCGCCAAAAAATGTTTAAATAGTTAAATAGTTTAAAAACTATCTAGAAGGGTTTTAGAATGTTAAATTAAAAAACAAAACTATCAAGACGTTCCAAAACATCGTTTTTAACTAGCAAAAAAATCAAATCCACGTTTTCAAATTGTTATAAACGCAATAACAGAGCAAATGTGCAATGTATTGTTTTCAAGAAACTTAGTACGTCGTTTTGAAAACGTCAAAGTACCGTTTTTAAAGCGTGATTGTTGTAAGTATCAAAAACAGCGTTTTTAAAAATAAACATCAAAAGACTTATTTTAAAACGGTGACATTAAAACATATTTCATTGTTTAATATATGTATCGTTTTCAGAAGTATCGTTTTGGCCGTTTACACTTTTAGGCATCTAAAACGTGTTTTTACAATGTCCACACGTCCGGTTTTCAAAACATCAAAAACGTGGCAGTTATCGTTTTTAGCAAATTCTTTTTAATGCTTCAAAGACTTTGTATTTAAACGGTCAGAATCGTTTTTCTAATAGCAGAATATTTTGCTTTTTAGTACGTCACATATCACTTTTTATATTTAAAACTCCAGAAACGTTGTTATTTAATATAAAATATTTTTTTCAACGCATTCAACATGAAAAACGACATTAAAACGTTAAATCATTTAATTTTCCAGAACACACATAAAAAAGCTATTTTTTGCTTTTTAACGGTTTTTTAGCAAAATGTTTTTAAAATGTAATAATTTTGTTATAAAACATCCCATATTATTTTGAATGTTAAGAACAACAAAAACGCGAATAAAACTCTTTGACTTTCCTTTAAAATTGTTATTAAAACATAATTAGACGCCGTTAAAGTTTTTGACTTGTCCTAACGATGTCTATCTTATTAGTAAAGGAGCTGGACTTAAACTAGTGAATACCAAATGTGCAAAATGCAATGTTAGTCCAGCGACTCTCCATTACCGTCGTACAATGTTGCGTTTGGTAAAAAGAATAAGTGGATTTTTCCAGGTAGTACGGTTAAGAATTTCAAAAAACAACCTAGATCGGAAAGTAAAACTTTACGACATTTGACACTCCATACCAAGTGATATATATTATATACAATTATTTTTATTTTCTTTTTTTTTAATACACTTAACGCATATTTTAAGTGGAATCTACAGGACGACATTATTATATAACATAAATTAGTTTTATGTACACAAACACCAATTGAAAAGTTGTTGACTTTGATAGAATGAGATCAGAAACAAAATAAAAAATCATTAATCCATTACGCTCACGACATTAAACGGGGTTGTAGTCCTTCTCCTGAGTTAATAACATGAAAAACTATTCTATTATTATACCAAATGATATTTATAAGCAAAAGAGTTGAAACGATTGTTTTTTACTATTCCACTTTTAAACAATGGAAATGAAGTCGGACTGAAGACTAAACGGTTATGCTTTGATAATATTTAACGAAGTCGGACCGAAAACTAAACGGTTGCGTTGACAATAATGACAACTGACACGTCGGCAAAATATTTCCTTTGCGTTTCTTTACAAGATTGTAGATTTAGGGATATTTTTAACAATTTTACGGCATATTTAATTTCAACTCTTTAAAAATCGACAAATTCCATTTCGATATCGCCAAACGCTTTAATTACTACCAAATTATAATTTATCGTAAGATATCCATAACAAAAAACTGGACTACAACCGCGTCTAACCTAATCGATTTAAATAAAAATAAATTGTAAACTCACAATCAACTCAACATCAACTAAATCGCATCGTTAAAGATATCTATCCAATAATATTCGAAAAGAGTTTTTTTCTTTGTTTGTTATGTTTTGTTGTTTAAATCTAAATTTATCGACATCACAATTCACCGTTTCCACTGTCGTTATCGTCCTCCTCGGGATATTCGGAACCGTTTGACAGATCGTCGTACTCCTCATCGTAGTCGTCGTCGTAGAAATCCGTCATTTCTACTTGCTGCTCGGAACTGTTCGGTTTAACCTGCGTCTTGATGCAGTAATCTTCTAGAGTGAGAGGGACTTTCAGTCCGTCTCTTTCGGCTTCGGCTCTAGCCGTCATGGCTTGTTTTCTGAAAAGGAAAAAAAATACATTTTGCAACAAATTTTAATTGTTGCTTTCGCATGTTGAAATGGTTAACAGTTACAGAAATGTTTAATTCCTGATGCTAAATTGGTTAAAACTTAACTACCGTGTGCTGAAATGGTTAAAACCAACCTTCTGGTTGCTGAAAAGGTTAAAATTTAACTTTCAGATGCTGAAATAGTTATATTGGTACTTCCAAATGTTAAAATGGTTAACAGTTACAGACATGTTTAATTCCTGATGCTAAATTGGTTTAAACATAACTACTGTGTGCTGAAATTGTTAAAACCAACCTTCCGGATGTTGAAAAGGTTAAAATTTAATTTCCAGATGCTGAAATAGTTGAAATGGTTAACAGTTACACAAATGTTTAAATCCTGATGCTAAATTGATTAAAACTTAACTACCGTGTGCTGAAATGGTCAAAAGCCACCTTCCGGATGCTGAAATGGTTAAAACCACCCTTCCGGATGTTGAAAAGGTTAAAAATTTAACTTCCAGATGCTAAAAAGGTTAAAATTTAACTTGCAGATGTCGAAATAGTAAAAATGGTACTTCCAGATGCTAAAAAGGTTAAAATTTAACTTACAGATGCCGACATAGTAAAATAGGTACTTCCAAATATTGAAATGGTTAATATTTACAGAAATGTTTAATTCCTGATGTTAAATTGGTTAAAACTTAACTACCGTATGTTGAAATGGTTAAAACTCAATTTCTGGATGCTGAAAAGGTTAAAATTCAACTTCCAGATGCAGAAATAGTTAAAATGTTACTTTCAAATGTTGAAATGGTTAATTCCTTATGTTGAAAAGGTTAAAAGAACTTCCGCATTCTGAAACGTCAAAAATTAATTTCCGTATTCAGAAATGGTTAATTTCTGATGCTGAAATAGTTCAAACTAAATTTCTGGATGCTGATATGGTTAACACTTAATTTCTTGATGCTGAAATAGTTAATTCATAGTGCTGAAAGGGTTAAAATTTTACTTTTATAAGTTAAAATGGTTAATACCTAACTTCAGAATGCTAAAAAGGTTAAAATTTAATGTCAGGATGAATAAATGGTTAATTCCTAAAACTGAAATGGATAAAACTTAACTGATAGATGTTGAAATGGTGAAAATCTATTTTTAAATGCTGAAATGATTTAAACTTAACTGCCATATGTTGAAATGGCGAAAACTTAACTACCAGACGTTGAAATGGTTAAAACTTAACTTACATAAGCTGAAAAGGTTAAAATTTAATTTACAAATGAAGAAATGGTTAATTCCTGATAATGAAATGTATAAAACTTAACTTCCAGATTTTGAAATGACTTAAACTTAACCAACTTAATTTTTGGATGCAGCAAAGTTTAAAATTTAATTTAGGGTTAATTCCTGATACTGGAATGGTTAAAATTTAACTTCACGTTGCCGAAATGGTTAAAACTTAACTTTCGAATGTTGTAATGGCTAAAATTAACCATTTAACTTATTAAAGCTAAAATGGTTAAAATAAAAATATCTCCCGGATGCGAAAAAAGGTTAAAAAATTCGGGAATACTAATGATACTGATCTTCAAAGTCTGTCCAAAATTGAATGACGGTCTGTATCATCTTCAAGTAAAAGGCGAACAAATATCTCTTGTATTTTTTAATTATTATTTACCTTATTATGTTCTCGTACTCTTTGTCCTTGCCCTTCGAGTCCCTCCAGCGGCGGTACATCACGGAGGCGTCTACGTTGGCGGGACTGTAGGTGTTCGGCTCGTTCAAAAGCGATATAACCGACAACAATATGGTGCGGACGTTTTGCGTCGGGTTCCAGCGTTCGCACGGCAGTTCCCCAGATTGTGGATCGTCTATGGGCGGGTGCAGGATGCTGATACACAAATCTCCATTCTAAACAATTAAATGCGACCTCTTAAAGCACGAAAGTAATGATTTTTGTTCGTAAAAGCGAATTTTATGGGAAATATGTATACCAAAGTTATTATGTGAGCGAAGCGAGTAGAAAAACATGAATAGAAATGTCAGTTATCAATAAATAAATGTTTTTGAAATACATACACATACTTGACTTTACTTGAACGCATAAATATGTATTTTTTTAAATACCTGCTAATAAAGGATATATTTAATTATTATTAATTTTGACTTTCACACTACATATGTTTATTGTTAAATATTAAATTCATAAATTGAATTGGAGCAATAATAACGAAGATAAACATTAATGCCCTCCAGACAATGCTGCTGCACATAATTGTTTGATCTCAATGACAGATGGCCCCATCTAAAGAGGGTTAGATGAAGTGACAGAAAACAAGAAAACTACTATACACGTGGCGCCATGTAGCAGCGTTTAAATGAAATTAAAACCCTCGTTCACATGACAGGTGTTTAGTGGGTCTGTTATTGACACTATTGCCAAAGTATTTTAAAACATATTTTGGTAATACTTGATGGCATATTTACAAAACTAACAGTAAAAATTTAAATTAAAAGCAAAATAAAGTTTGTTTCAATTTTATTTAAAGATTAACGATGAAAATGGTTTAAAATGACTGAAAATGGAGAAAAAAAATCACTTACCTCGTATACATTTGGATGCCAGACTTTTGTCAAAAATCTAATTGACGGCGGTGAGTAAGGATAGTCTGTAGGGAATTTCATTCTAGCCTAGAACCCCAAAAAAAAATTAAACATAAGTAATATTCCTTATATGTTGTGTTAAAAATTATTATTTGTCAAAAAGTATCCGAATGTAAGAGAATATATAAAAGGAAAAATAGCAACTAAAAAACTAAGATAAATTTTTTTGTAATTAAAGTTAAAGCAAATTTGGTGGAGATTGCTATTTATTCATATAAATAAGTATTTTTACTAGAAAATTTAAAAATTGTTATAAAAAAATTTAAAAAATATAAAATAAATTTTATGATTTAAGAAAATGTCTTGTTAAAAACAGTACATTTCTTTAATTGAGTCCATACTGGTTTGAGTGATCATGCAGTTTAAGGCAGTTGCACAACTTAACATCCAAACTTGATCCACATACAGTGTTAAAAAGATAAATTTCTGGAAAGCAGATTATAATATATTAATCAATAGTGAGATAGCTCAACATAGTGTACATTTGCAAGATGCTGCTCATAGTTCTTACAAAACTTTAACATACTGGATAAAGTAATAAATGACAATATCCCACTAGAAGTATAATAAATAAAAACCCTGAAAAACCCTGGATCAATTGAACCTACTTCAAAGAGATTAATAAAAAGTTTTAGGTGTCATATAGTAATTTAGAATAATTTTTGCTACTAATTAAAAGAGCAACTTCGCATCGACTAAGTCGCTTGCCTGTTCTATTATTTGTTATTTGTATCCAAACAGGCCAACGGCCTTATTATCATTTAAAGTATCATAATACATAAATAATAATATTAATAATAACAAACAGTAGGTAATTACAACTAATATTACAACTTATTCAGTATTAAAATTAATTAAAAGTAGGGTAATAATTAATCAAGAGTAATGTAATAATTAAATACAAGTTTTTGGAACATAATAAATGGTAGTGTCCAGACTACAGCAATACAAGTGTTAATATTATTTGCCAATCAGAGCATGGTCACAAGAGGTGACCTGGCAGTGGTAAGAACTAAAGAAATATTAAACATACATGGATGATGGATGTCTCATTCTCCTCAGAGGTACATTAAATCATATTAAGTATAGTAGCTCAGGTGAGTTAATTTTATATAAAAAATTCAACATTATCATATTCTTTCTGGTGTGAAGGGAAGGTATGTTAAATTATTTTCTTAAATTTGCAGTTCTAACACAATATTGTAGTCTGGGTATATATGGAATTTTTTTGAAATAAAGATATCTAAGAAATGTATTTTGTATTTTTTCAATCTCAAATAGATTAGTTGGATGTTCCCCCATCCATACCTCAGCTCCAAATTCAAGTGTTTGTCTAACTAGAACATAATAAAGAATTTTTATAGATTCTATGTTAGCAAATCTTCTAATTTGCCTAATTATGAACCCCAGCATTCTATTTGCAGCCTTAACTATAATTTTACATGATTAGAAAAAGATAGAATACAATCGTAGGTTATACCTAAGTCTCTTACCTCTGTACGTCATTCAAGTACTTCCCCATTTATAAGATAATCAAAAATAACAGGATTTTTTAATCTACTTATTGTCGTACTGCTACATTTTTTTTTAATGAAATTTAATTTATTTTTATAACAGCATTCATTTATGTTGTCTATATCTTCTTGTAAACTCATACAATCCCTAACAGTCTGTATTTTTTTTATTTTAAGATCATCAGCAAATAGAAGACAATCTGTAAACCTCAGAATAAATGGTAAATCATTGATGAAAATTAAAAAAGGAGGGGTCCCAAATTGGAGCCCTATGGCACTCTACTATATGCTATAAATTTTCCCAAGGTGTTCCCATTATACTTAACAATTGCATATCTATTTTCTAGGTAGCTCTTAAATAGTGTAAGACTATTTACTCAGTTTTAAAAGCAGAACATATATACCTTATCAAATGCTTTTTTAAAGTCTGTGAATATTACATTAAGTTGGATTTTGTTTTCAAGTGCTTCATAAGTTGTAGTTACAAAACTAAACAATTTGTACTGACAAAACCATGCTGCTGCAATACAAGACTACTCTCAACATGTTGATATAATCTTGCATATATGTTCATATAATTTAACAGGAGCTGATAAAAGTGATATGGGCCTAGTTTTCAATTTTAATTTTATTTCTAGATTTAAATATAATAGAAACTTGTGCAGTTTTCCATAAGTGTGGAAATTCATTTGTTGCAATACTTAAGTTGAAGATATGAAGTAAAGGACTTTTTAACCACTCATTACAGGCCTTCAGAACATATGGAGACATGCTGTCTGGTCCTGCTGCTTTTTTAGGCTTAAGTTTTTTAATTGCTTCTTCGAATTCTAAACCTGTTATTAATTTTAAATTTGAAGCATTATTTGTAAAAATTTTCAGAATCACAAGATACATTATAAGAAGGTTTATTAGTTGAATATACTGATGAAAAGAATTCTGCGAATGCATTTGCTTTTTCATTAGACTTAATTGTTTTCCCTTTAAATAAGTAATGCTTACTAGTGAAATTACTATTTTTTATTATTCACATAATTCCAAAATATATTTATATCTGCACCTATCCCATCTTCAATATCATTGATAAATTTTCTTTCTTCTTTCCTAATCAAATTTTTTATTTTCTTCCTCATTTCGTTTTATTTATTTTCATAAAAATCTGATGTGTCCAACACATGATTTTCCTATCTAGTTATTATAGGCTTTTTCCAGTTATTTTGTACAACCTATTGCAGGATCTCTATAAATGTTTTAGAGGATAAACTAAATATATACATTTTCCACATACATCTACCTCGAAACATTTTTCTATAGATATTCATTGAAAACGAAAATACTGAAAAAATTAAATTTAGCACTTTTCCTACAATTTTCCATTACGGTCCATTTTAGAAAAATCATGTGTAAACAAAAATTATAGAGATAGTTCAACAATTTTCATAAAAATCAGAATTTTGTACATTTTGTCGAATTTCTCGAATACGGACCATTTTAGGAAATTTTGACATAAGGCAAAAATTATAGATAATAATATTAAAAGTAACTTTTATTTGAACAATTTTCTTCTCCAAACCTAAATAACATATATTCCATAAAATATAAAAATGACTACCTATAAAGTACCCCCCCCCAGATGTTCCGACTCTGCCCAAAATCTAATCAGATCATTGGACGCTAGAATAAAGCTTAAGTTTAAAATTTGGTGTTTTTCTGTGTATCGGTTCATGAGTTATGGTGGATACAGACACACACACAGACAGACACACAGACAGACATCATCGCGAAAATAGTCAAAACGGATTCAGGGGACCTCAAAACGTAAAAATCCGTCGAAAACTCGAGGTCGAAAAAAATCATGATTCCTATACTTTCCTTATATCTATATACAGATAGGAAAGTAAAAAAAGGATATACTTCTCAGCCTTCTATATTTTTCTTTATCTTTCAGTAGGTCTTTAATTTCCTTTGTCAACCAAGGTTTATGATTGTATAAACCGCGTTTTAAATTATATTTAGATACACACTCTTTCCAGAATCTCATTCCATTTAATGTAAAATTTGTATACGACCACATTCACATTGGACTCATCAAGCACTTTGTTCCAATCTGCATCTCTCACTCTTAGCCTATTTTAAAAATTGTAACCAAGATTTGAAATTTCTTCTTTTTGCACATATTTATGTTGGGAATCCTGAAGATGGATGGTACAAATCTTCATTAATGAAGGGAAGTGAATCTCTTTGAACCAGTCAATTATTAAAATTATTTTCTGAACCTATAACTAAATCTAGCATTCTTCCTTGAAAGTTTTTTATGTCATTGAATAACTTAAATCCATTAAAATCTACAAAATCTTAAAAATGATTTAAAATATTATTATTAATTAAACAATCATAGTTTATATCTGAAATAATATTGATGTCAAAATCCCCATAATATATACTTTTTTCATGTCAAAATTCAATAAATTATTCTGTAAAAATTTTAAAGCAGTTTTATAGGTTTTAAATGCACTACCTGATGGAATGTATATTGCACATAATTTGTATTTCACAAAATGAATCTGAACTTCTACAATGACTGCCTCAAAAATAGAATTATGCTTTACTATATTTAAGAGTTTAACATTTTTCTTAACTGCGATAAATACTCCACCACCTGTTATCTTATTTGTTATTTCCAAATTCCTATCTGCCCTTACTAAATTATATAAATTATTGTCTACGATTTCACCATTAAGTACTGACTCCTGTAACCATGTTTTGACAGCAATTATAATATTGTAGTCTTCATTAAGACAAGATCTAAAAAAAATCATTACACTTACTCTTGAGTCCCCTACAGTTCTGACAATAGATATGTAGCATAAACAATATTCTTGTTGTAAGCTCATATTCATTGCCAAAGATTAAACACAATAGTGGTACCTTAAATTAACTAAGTATCATTATTACAGTTAAATTTGCCAGTTTACTATAAATGATTCCTTTCAAAAAGATAGATAAAATAGATCTTAGTCATAAATCATAAACAATGACTAAAACAAAAAAGAAACCTAACAGTTCTAGCTTAATTATCGGCATTCAGAATACAATTTTCAAAGTGTATTGGTAAAATCCCAAACCAAATAAGTATTATCAATTTGGTGATATCCTTGGATATCATCAAGAACCACAAATAAATAAAATAAATCTTAGCTAAGGTTAATCATTGTTTATGATTTACCTTTTATTTAACAAAAATTAAATCCAATAATTTTAGAAATAATTATTATCAGCATTCAGTTTTTCAAAATTTATTAGCAGAATCCCAAATAAAATGCAAATTAATTGAATGATGTGAAAAACAAATTTATTAATTGAGATAAGTATTGTTTGCTAATTAAATATACAATTTATTTCAAAATTAAAACCAATAATATTTTTATTTTATAATGTACCCAGAAACGAAATTGCAAAAAAACACTGATAATTTTTTCTCTGAAGCTCAATTTCAAGGTAAGTCTGTTTCTTTATCAATAACTTGGACAGTGTTGCCACTCTTGCAATATATTCTGGAGTTCCTTGTCCAGACTGATTTGTGTCTATATTTATTCTTGGCAGTTAAAAATAATTTATGAAACCTGGGTGTCAATAACAATAATAAAATAAAATAACAATGCATCACTAATTACAAATTTAAGCTTTGCCATCCAGGGATAAGGTACGAAGAATATGTTATTTCAGTTGAAATAATGTATATTTTTTAAGTATATACCCATAGAAATCTATTTATAAATGTATATTAGTAAAAAAATATGTTATTTTGAGTATCGTTACTGTTGCTTACTACCTATATCGATAGATTAAACTTAGATCTGAACCAATAAGCAGCATTGATTCTTTTCTATGTATCGAACATCTCTATTATCTAAAATCAAATTCACACTAAGGTGTGCTGGGAGGAATATGGCTCCCTATTAATAAATCCATCACAAACTGGCATATAACAGGTGCTCTCTTTTTGTAATTCTATCACACTTCCTTCTGTTAATTTGCAATACCAAAGAAAAGTTTGAGCCAAATATATATGAGAAGATAGGAACAATCTCTTAACAAATAAAGAATATATTTAAACTCTTCTACTAACTGTGTTATTGTCTATTTTTGTGAATTTTATGTAAATCTGTAAAAATAAACATGTAGCAAGTACAAAGCAAAATAATCTGAAATAGCTACTTTCTCTTACAAAAAGCTTATTGGGTAACTCAATACATTTGAAGATAATATATCATTGTTTCCATTAAATACATTATGGCCCACCTATTTATAAAGTCGTTTACAAAAGTTATTGTGAAATATTTCATTCATTTTTCAACAATAAAAAAATTCTGAAGGTGAATTTGTAAACAAAGAAATCATTCGTCATCAACCTAAATCCATTTAGCATAGACCAATTATTTTATCATTTAATTTTTAAGGAATTAATTAATTAGGAACTAAAAAACAAATTAGCTTTTTTTATAGGTAATAAAACGAACTAAAATTACCACGTATTTTGCGAAATTTCCTGAAAATTACGACTCTAATCAATCTAATAATAAAAAATAGAAAGTTAATGTATCCAATAAAAGTAAATAAAATATTAATAGAACGAATTGTGTGCGTAAATACACCTTGCTCGGCCATCAGCTGTGAACAATGAAAACTCTTTGTTTACGTTACTTTCGATCAGGAAACGCAAAATTTTCTTTAAAATAGGAAATGATTTACCTTGAAACAACCACCCATATAGAGCGTATCTGGTGGTCCAAAAATAGCTACTTCCCATTCGAAAAGATTATCGTCATTAACGAGTTTCACACAAAAACCTTCAACTGGTTCTTCCTGTAAACTTTTATATTCCACTGCCAACGCTCTAAGGGCACTACTAGTTGCTCTCGTATTTGCCATGTCAGTTCGCACAGCACTAATGTTCAATTTTTTATAGTTTAACAAAGAAACCTTCCTCGGAATTTACAATAATCGTTTATTGAACTTCACTTAATCCTGACGCCATTTCACTATACCCCTTGGAGTTTCTGAGCTATCACCACCATCCGTTCGGATAATCAATGCACCACGATTCACTGTTTAAAGAGGAATTAATGACGAACTTATTTTTCGCGTAAATAATTAACGTAAAAGTCTTTTATGATTATATAAAACAAGAAAATTAGTACAACTTCTGCAACTCAGTAATATTTTCTAAATATGACCCATAGATAAAATATAAGTGTAATAGAGATGTTGTCGAATCTTGGAACTGTTACTCTTTGCTGTTACCGTGATAAAAGAGAAATCGTCGCCTTTCAAGGCTATTTGAACAACCCTGGGCGATTTTTTAACCATTTTATCACTATACACCGTTTCATTATGAGAAAATGGAAATTTAACGCATTAAAAAATTTAGATCCCAAATTAACATGTGGTGCGAGTTTAATTCCCAGATTTATAGTGGAGGATAGTGCCCATTTCTTTGCTAAAACTTCCTTAAACTATCTTTAATTTAGTTCCAAACAATTTCCAGAAGAGAGGAAATTGTCTAAAATGTATTACATATTTAAAGCAGGAGCTATGAAGGATATTTTAAAAAAAAAATTGAGATGTGTTTATATAATTATTGAGTTTTTTTCCAAATTAAACAACTTATAATTATATCAAAGCAGCATGGTTTTAATAGCAAAAGACCACAAATATTAAACTGCAGATTATCCATAAACATACTCATTTAAGCTAACATAGTTTTGATAACTATTTAACTAAATAAAGTTATACCTACATGATACAACGCTGTTTATTGAATTCCGTAGCAATAAGTCATTTCATTTCATAGCAATAAGTGGTGGTCCACAGGGTTAGCAACCCAGTCTCTTTACTGTTTACCTTAGATAAAAGAGACCACTGTTTACACAGAAAATGTTTAGACTTATAACTTGCCTGTTGTCAGAGTATAAGCTAATATCTCGTGGAACGTTTCAAAATGAACCAATAATAAAAGTTATTTTATTGTGTATTTATTTATTTAACTTACATCTAGATCTCTAAAAATAATCTCATTAAATATAACCCGACCTTAATAAATTAGCGGCTATGACCATTGTTTCTAAATTTTTCGTGTATTTTGCAATATTTGTCTCGACTTCATTTTGTCATTAATAATCAAAAATGGAGTCCTCGAGCTGAAGCTCTCGGATTCTGTAACAATTCCTTTATATTTTAACGGCCGTTAAAGTATTGGCGGCCTTTAAAAATATTTTCGTATTCACTAACTTACTTCTGTCATTATTTAAACGGATTTCTTTAAAATAGTCCTCAAATAACAATCATTTTTAAAGGGATGTTAACATTCGCCTTTAATTTTTACCGGCTTTGAATTGAAAATTAAGGATTTGTATGGTTATGTTTTGAAACTAGTTCAAATAAATCTTAAATGCGATGTTTTCACGTGTTCTCCTGCCATTTTTAAGGGAATCCGTTAAAATAAATAATTTTTAACCTCTAAAATTTGTATATACAAAATACCATTTTTTGTTAAAAAAATTAACGGGCCGCTAAAAGTTAATTTTTAAAGGCCTCTAAATTTTAACGGGGTCTATTCTGTAACAACTCCTTTATATTTTAACGGCCTTTAAAAATACTTCTGTCATTATTTAAACGGATTTCTTTATAATAGTTCTCTAATGTATTTTAAAGGAATCCGTTTAAATAATGACAAGTAATTTAGTAAATACGAAAATATTTTTAAAGGCCTCCAATATTTTAACGGCCTTTTAAAATATAAAGGAATTGTTACAGAATAGACCCCAGTCGACTATTTATCAAGGCACCGTTAAATTACCCTTGAATATTTCTGTACACAAGCATTTTCCTGTAAAAGGTTAGACTAAAAATGTTTTTTTATATAAATGTTAAGAATCTGTACAGATTATAGCTTTTTTTTAAAAAAAGTTGGTTTTGCCTAGTTTCTTACAATTAGCTGATAAATTAAAATAACTTTGTTAAAATTGGCGCATCCATCTCTAATTATTAATGATATTTTTCAACTGTCAACTTGCAGTTCATATCTTTGCTGGCGCGAAATTTAAATTTCTCTTGATTATTAATTAAAAACATAAGTATATAAAGATTTTTTGGTGCATATCAAAAAGTTCGGTATTTAATTGCTTAAATAATTATAATGTCGTATTTGTTTAGCCAAATCTGTAAATATATTGAGAAAATATTTAAATTCACCAATGACCATCCAATGACTGACACAAAATCTTTTGTAACTAGACGAGCAAGTAAATAAAGGATAATGATGCATCTATTGCTACGTTTGAAATGTACCTCCTCGAGCAGAGCGAGTAGATTTTTTGGTCACGTATCGAGCGACCATATCTGTGGAGCAAACGGACCTTGGAAATATTTGTATTTGTTTTAATGATCGTCATAATTTATTTCAAATTATTTGAGCATCGTTTTATAGTTTTAAATCTTACAACATAAACTATTATTTATTATATTTTTTAATATGTTCTCGTCTACAACTTTATAGACTACTTTTATGCTACGTTTGAAAAGTACCTCACGGAGCGGAGTAGGGCTAGTAAATTTTTTAGTCACGTGATCATCGAGCAAATCGAGCTTATGTGGAATAAAAGAACGGCTATGGATTTGTTTGTGTTTCCCGTATCCGGTTTTCATTAAAATAACAAACGTTAACCTTTCTTTTAAATAAAATTTGATCTCTCGTCTCGTGGTTTTTGTTGCAAGTTGCCAAGTAAAGTAAATTTTTATCTGTGGTATTTTTCGCTTTCACTAGAAAATAAACCATGTTCTCATTTCTGTCTGACATGTTTTATAAATATTTTTTTTAATAACCAAACACATATGAAAAAGAATAAACTGCAATACAAGAGACAACGAACGATGTCTATCACAAAGCATGTATCTTCTAGAGACCCCACGCCAATGTTAAACTTTTAAACCAAATTAGCGCCACCTTGTGTTTGGAGCTGGAACTAAAATGACAATTGACAGATGGCGGTAAATTCAAATTGTAATTTTTAGGAGTAGGTAGTAGTTTTAAATTAAATTTTAAATGATTTCCACATAAATTATTTTATAAAATAAAGTATGGAACTAGTAAGTTCGAAACTTTTATTTTACAAAATAATTTAGGTCGATTATACCAAATTTGAAGAATTAATTTGTTATAAGGGGTCTATTGTGGAGAGTTTGTTCTGCATATTTTTATTAAATAAATATATCAATAAATAATAAAATAGAACATTCTTAAAATATGTTTATTAATAAATTAAATAAATATTATTAGATAAAAATAAATACAAATAATAATACATATTTAACGAATACTTACTTGGAGCAAATAGATATATAATCTCAAATCTTTAAAATACCTATCAATAATGTAAATGTGAAGTAGAGACTAGGATATTACATTTTATTAACACTAAAGTTATATATTTTATAAATGTCTTTTTAACTGAGGACAAATGTAATATAGGTATTGTATTAAAAGGTGAATCCTTTTAACTATTCATTCAATGATAAATAGGTATTTTCCTTCCAAATACAGATGGTGATACAGATTTCGGAATCTAGTCCAGTGATAAATTGATTATCAATTAATTGTTGTCCCCGTTTGTCTTTTTATGATGCATTGTGAATATATGGTGAATCAATGAAGTTTTTCTCGAAGTTTTCAACGTAGCACCAAAATTATTGCAAAACACAGTAGGAAATAAAAAAGCGAAATATCACAATTTTGCAAATAACTAAGACGAAACTATAAACAGAAACCAAAAGCCAAAGCCAACAAAAAATCACTAAAATCAGACGGAAAAATGAAACTAACCAAGAACATAAATAAATACACGTCACATCTTTGGTGTCTTTGGTTAAGTTTTTCTCCCATAAGGCTTAAAAATGGAGTAAGAAATCATAATTTCACCAGTAGCCCCATCTAGAGTTTGGAGCAAATAGCATAAAAAATGTCAGTTGTCGGTTTTGACCTTGGTCATTCCTCCGAGCAATTACTAATAGAGGGAGCGTGAAAACGAGTTTGTAGGCGATTGTTGTGTTAGCAACATCTGTAGAGGAAGTGAGGAAGCGGGCACAAGGGGGAAGGTAAACATCCTTCTTGTTCAGTGGCGTATCATTTATCTATAAAAACACACATTGTCCAAACGTTTTAATTGTAAAAAAAAAACTAAAAAATTTGCTAATTTTACTATTTTTAAAATGAATACCGTCTTATATGTGTCTAATGCAGGAAAAGAAACAAAATCACTGTAAAGGTCTAATTTTTTCAATTGAAGAATAAAACCTTAAAATCAATTTTATTATTAATACAGGAGCGACTAGTTTCGGCCTTACAGGAACATCTTCAGGCCTGTAATACAATAATATTTAATTATTATAATAGGTTGGTCGCTTACGAATAACATTAAATAGTATAAACCACAAAAATGGATCCATATTGTAGCGTTACAGCATTTTAGAATTAAAGCTGTGAAAATAAAAGAGCAGTGCAAACGTAACTAAAAATAAGAAAACTGATTACGGAATCTACAAGAGAAGAGGTGAGAATGAGCAATTACGAATGCATTTAAATTGCTCGGGATAACAAATAAAGCTGATAATGTAGTGGTATAGTCCCCGTCAAAGAAGGTCTGGATATGTTAAAGAGAACGGCGTTTTCTCTGTAAATCTGGAGAATGTAAGGATGGAGGGAAGACGAATCTTGCTGGCTCAGGTGTAGATGGCTAGAAAAAGGAGCGTGTAGATGAAAGATCCAGTAAATATAATCACTTTCGTCTAATTTTTTATTCTCACTCACTGTTTCGGCTTTATCTTCGAAATTCATTTTTAAAAGGAAATAAAAGTAATCATTCATACAAGCATATAATAAAACAACATGAATTCATTATATTTAATAAGCTAATAAACGTTTGTTTCAATGAAAAAAACATATATGTGAGCATAAAAAATATATAAATTAATATTAAAATCAATTTGAAAATACAACAGATATAAAAATGAAATAAATTAGTACAAGTACAAATAGAAAGTTAATAACACCTTCTAAAAGTAATACATTTTAAGTAGATAAATGTTTAAAGAGTTTATTCCTGAACATAACTAATCTAACGTTTTTCCCCTTTTTAATATTATGAGGGTTTTTGTAGTTGAAATGAAAATTATAATTTATTTTGCTCCTAATAAAAATTTAAACATAGGTTATCAAAGAGTAAAATTCATAATAGAACTTCATAATCTTAAATCGTTATCAAAAATTATTAATGGTAAAACTTCAAACAATAGATT